TATGTAAATTTATTTTTTCCTTTTGTTCCACTTACACAATTATTTTACTTTTTAAATAGTTTTCAAAAATTTTCATGAAAAATTAGCTTGAATCTGAAGGTGTGCTTTTAAGATGGATGGGTTGAATTAAAAGACATAATGTTGAATAATTTTATCTTAAAATGTACAGTACAAATGATAAAGCAAAGGTATTGTAAAAATATGGATTTGTTAGGGTCAGAAAAATTGACCCTCTTCATGTTGTCCTTCCAAACTGACTGAAGTCCTTAAAAAACAGGTGTCAAAGACTATTACGTTATTTCTATTTCTAAATAAATGAATAATAAATGATGATTGTTTTTTTTAAACATTCTCTTAAAAACGTAGTTACAAATAAAAAATTTAACAACTACAACTTCTTTCAGGTAGCAAGTTTTTAGAAAAAATAAAATTAATGATGATTGTTTTTAAAACTTTCTCTTAAAAAACGTGATAAATTGACAACATAGCAGGTGCTAAGGGGGCGTTAGGGATGTTGGCACTTTTTCATTATTCTCATGTACCAGGACTCCAATCAAACCGAGTCTGCAAAATTTTCATCTAATCGTGCTTTTTAATTGGTTTTTCCGAGGGGATCATTTTTTTCAAAAATATTTAGAAAAAAAACAAATAATTATACAAAATTATATATGTTTATACAAATTAGATTTAGGTGGATTGTACAGCAAAGTTTTTTTAACTAATATTCAAATAACTCTCGAAACGCTCATTCCTGATAGAATTTTATCGCCAGAGAAAAGAGGCCAGTTTTCTCCCTTTTAATGCTGAACGCTATGCAAGGGGAACTACTTGGTACCGCACGTTTTTTTGTAGACACGGACCAGGGATCGAACCCACCGACCTCCAGCAAACGAAGTGGACGCTCTTCCAACTTAAGGCCTGTTTTAATTTTTAACAAAAATCATGTAACAACGATTTAAAAACAATTCTTAACTTGAAATGTAAGTTATTGACATCATTTCCGTTCTTATTCCATGGGTTATGTCTGCGTCCACATTCTCATAGTTATCTATATTGACGTCATCAACGGTACTACAATAACATGTGGAGTTATTAAAGTAAGCCGATGCCAGCCTAAGACTTTGACAATGGTAAACGCATGATACCAATGACTTTTCATGATGTAGAATGACCGTTGCATCGGTTTGAGGGATATACGATACCTTTTCTATTTTAAATGTAGATGTAGAACGTCCCGTTTTCAAAGTATCTGCTTCTGAATAACAATGATTAGTCCCAAGGAAAATAAAAATAAATCCAACAATGCCTTGGACGCACGTAAGTAAATTCTTTTCCATGTTATCGTAGCCTTTTGGCAGCGAATATAATCAAAGTGCTGAAGGCACTGCAGTTGGGACGTATGAAGGATCAAATAACTATTTTTTCTATTTCCGGGCAGATAATTCAATGAGTGAAGGGTGTTGCCGGTTGATAAATATAAAGTGCACAATTCAGTAAATGAACAGTAGATGATACAATTATTCTATGACACACATGTTAAATATAATATTTAGGTTACATGTACGTGTAGGTCCATCATAAACCGTTATTGGCCTTTTTTGACAAGAGCAACAAGTGAAATTAGAGCTACCAGAGGAAACTGCAAGCTTGACTATTTTAACACATGACATTATAAAGGGAGACAAAGCTATGAAAAAACTAGACCTATCACTGAAGGTGATTAATACCCCCACCAGCAACTTTTTGAAAAATAAGTAGTCTGAAGAAAAATTTCAACACAAACTATCAACTGTGTACACAGAAATATTTCAATTAATTGTAATCCCAACTGGGGTCTCCAAATAAGCTTGCTTTTCACAAAGTTTGATTACAATATCTCATTCCTAACTCTAGTTATTGTCCGGAAACCATTTTTCTATTTTTAGGAATGGTGACCTTGACCTTGACCCCAGGGGGTCCAAAATGCAATACCAACCCAGGTCTTCATATAAGCTTGCTATACACCAAGTTTGATAACAAATCTCATTCCTAACTCTAGTTATTGTCCGGAAACCATTTTTTCTATTTTTAGTAACGGTGACCTTGACCTTGACCCAGGGGGTCCAAAAACAATACACCCAGGTCTTCATATAAGCTTGCTATACACCAAGTTTGATTACAATATCTCATTCCTAACTCAAGATATTGTCCGGAAACCATTTTTCTATTTTTAGGAATGGTGACCTTGACCTTGACTCCAGGGGTCCAAATGCAATACCAACCCAGGTCTTCATATAAGCTTGCTATAACACCAAGTTTGATAACAATATCTCATTCCTAACTCTAGTTATTGTCCGGAAACCATTTTTCTATTTTTAGTAATGGTGACCTTGACCTTGACCCCAGGGGGTCCAAATACAATACCAACCCAGGTCTTCATATAAGCTGCTATACACCAAGTTTGATTACAATATCTCATTCCTAACTCAAGTTATTGTCCGGAACCATTTTTTCTATTTTTAGTAACCATGACCTTGACCTTGACCCCAGGGACCTAAATGCAATACCAACCCAGGTCTTCATATAAGCTTGCTATACGCAAAGTTTGATAACAATATCTCATTCCTAACTCTAGTTATTGCCCGGAAACCATTTTTCTATTTTAGTAACGGTGACCTTGACCTTGGACCCAAGGGGGTCCAAATGCAATACCAACCGGAGTTTCCACATAAGGTTGCTATATACCAAGTTTGATTACAATACCTCATTCCAAACTCTAGTTATCGTCCGGAAACCATGATGTGGACCGACCGACCGACCGACAAGCTGACTCCTATATACCCCCCCTAAACTTCGTTTGTGGGGGTATAATAATCAATTGTGATATAATTATATCAAATTTTCTGTATCAGTATCAAGTAAACACTCAAATGGTCAATATTTTTTGCATCACATTATATGAATGTGACCATGTCATTAGAACTTATAATGGCCTTTGTTTACTGCAATTCTCATGCTAATCTCTTTCACTGTATAACGTTTATAAAGTTTCAATCAAATTCCTTCAATATTTTAATCCTCTCTCTGAACAGTATCATGAAATATATACGGAGATAATTCAAAAACTAAGTAATGTAGAATTTTGGTTATTTGACACAAGACTTCTGCTCACTCGTCTCTACAACTGTATTAAGTTGGAGTGTGATATCATTGAAAAGATTTACTCCAGACAACCATTAATTTAAAAGTTGTTGTACATGTATTTTAAGAGATGATAATTGTAAAATTAAGCTAGAAACTAGAACTCCGCAAGTCGGATGTGTCGCCTTGTGAACAATGTAGTTTAGGAGAAATGGCCAGGACAAAAATGAAATATGAAAAATAACAAAGGGCAATAACTAAAAAAATAATAAGTGCAGAGCAGCAGTTTCTGAACACTGCACTTCTTATCAATAAGATCTATCATTCTATGATGGTTCAAGTCCATAGCTTTCATACTTGAGGAGAAATGACCAGGACAAAAATAAAGAAAGAAAATCAACAAAGGGCAATAACTCAAAAAATAAGAAATGCAGAGTACCAGTTCTTGTACACTGCACTTCTTCTTAATGAGATCTATCATCCTATGAAGTTTCAAGTCCATAGCTTTTATACTTAAGGAGAAATGGCCCGGACAAAATTAAAGTATGAAAATAAACAAAGGGCAATAACTCAAAAAATAAGAAATGCAGAGTAACAGTTCTTGTGCACTGCACTTCTTCTTAATGAGACCTATCATCCTATGAAGTTTAAAGTCCATGGCTTTTATTCATTAGAAGAAATGGCCTGGACAAAAATAAAGTATGAAAATTAACAAAGGGCAATAACTCAAAATTAGGAAGTACAGAGTACTGGTTCTTGTGCACTGCACTTCTTCTTAATGAGATCTCTCATCCTATGAAGTATCAAGTCCATAGCTTTTTTAGTTGAAGAGAAATGGCCCGGACAAAATTAAAGTATGAAAATTAACAAAGGGCAATAACTCAAAAAATAAGAACTGCAGAGTACCGGTCCTTGTGCACTGCACTGCGGGTTATTAAAAGAAGCATGCATACCAAGTTTGAAGTCAATCAGACTTATAGTGACTGAGTTATGCTCCGGGCCGCCGACAACGACACAGACGCCGCCAACAAAAGTAACCCCTATATGTCACCTTTTCATGGCGACACAAAAATTAGGGTTATTTGAAAAAACACTTTCTTTCACTTGATTATTTTCGCTGTGTAAAAGTTTAATCAAATGTCATCAAGTCTTTTTCAGTATTTCTCTGGACAAGCATAATTAAGTACATGTATAATAAAGGTAGATAATTAAATAAGAGGGCCATGATGGCTCTGAGGTTGCTCACCTGTATATACCCCCCCCCCCACCCTGCAGGGCCAGTTTTTACCCAAGGGCTTTTATTTGAACAAACTTGGAAGACATCCATAAGAAGATGATTCATGCTAAACATCAAAGCTCTAGCTTATTGGGTTTTTTTAAAGAAGATTTTTTAAGTTTTTACTAACACATACTGTTAAAAACAATGACAACCCTGGAGCAGGGCCAGTTTTGACCCCAGGGCTTTTATTTGAACAAACTTTGTAGACACTCACTAGAAGATGTTTCAACTTATAATATAAACTCTAGCTATTTGGGTTCTTTAAAAAAGATTTTTGAAGTTCTTACTATATGCATATAGGGAAAATCAATGATCCCCTTGGGCAGGGCCAATTTTGACCATAATATCCATAATATTACTTGAGTCCATACCGACAGATGGTTAAGACCGCAACTATATTCTGTCCCTTTCAGGAGCATAAATTATAATAACATGCTAAATATCTGTATAGTTCTATATCAGATACCAGTATGATGAACCTTACTTTTGTACCATTTAAGTTATAGCAAAATTCAGCTTTCATTGACATACAGAAATGGGTCAGCCTTTAGTCCCATCTTAATGAAAATATAAGGGGACTTATAACAACAATTTATTCTCATAGTTTCAATTCTCAGGTTTATTACTTATCATTACACCAGGCAAGCTAAGATACATGATAAAACCACAGGCACTATATACCACATTTACCCATATACGCTCATAATACTATATATAAAGAATAAAGGTCCCTAACGAGAGAAAAATATCATGCAAAACAAACAAGAACTGTTCGGTAAAAATACACCAGATCACTATTTTATTTTTGTGGTTGTCTCTAGGAATAATGTATCCTATCATAAACACTTTTTACTTCATCGAAATCCTACAAAATGCTCCAAAATACGAGCAAGTTTCCAAATTTCACTGAAATGTCATTGCATGTCGTTTTCGACGTCCAAGCGATGCGTGTAAACAAAGGTGAATTCTGGTCAATTTCTACAAAATCAACGAATAACTGTTAAGATTTCGACATACTTTCTTTAAGGCAACTTGTATACAGTCAAACTGCGATGTCTTTACTTCACAACTGTCCGACGATAACACTAACAAGCTAAACTAGAACTCCGCGAGTCGGATGTGTCGCCTTGTGAACAATATAGTTTAGGGGAAATGGCCAGGACAAAAATGAAATATGAAAAATAACAAAGGGCAATAACTAAAAAAATAATAAGTGCAGTCTAAGCAGCAGTTTCTGTACACTGCACTTCTTATCAATAACATCTATCATTCTATGATGTTTCAAGTCCATAGCTTTCATACTTGAGGAGAAATGACCAGGACAAAAATAAAGTAAGAAAATCAACAAAGGGCAATAACTCAAAAATAAGAAATGCAGAGTATCAGTTCTTATGCACTGCACTTCTTTTTAATGAGATCTATCACCCTATGAAGTTTCAAGTCCATAACTTTTATACTTTCGGAGAAATGGCCTGGACAAAAATTAAGTATGAAAATTAACAAAGGGCCATAACTCAAAAATTAAGAAATGCACAGTACCGATTATTGTGCACTGCACTTCTTAATAATGAGATCTATCATCCTATGAAGTTTCAAGTCCATAGCTTTTATATTTAAGGAGAAATGGCCCGGACAAAATTTAAGTATGAAAATAAACAAAGGGCAATTACTCAAAAAATAAGAAATGCAGAGTACCAGTTCTTGTGCACTGCACTTCTTCTTAATGAGACCTATCATCCTATGAAGTTTCAAGTCCATGGCTTTTATACATTAGGAGAAATGGCCCGGACAAAAATAAAGTATGAAAATTAACAAAGGGCAATAACTCAAAAATTAGGAAGTGCAGAGTACTGGTTCTTGTGCACTGCATTTCTTCTTAATGAGATCTATCATCCTATGAAGTTTCAAGTCCATAGCATTTTTAGTTGAAGAGAAATGGCCCGGACAAAATTAATGTATGAAAATTAACAAAGGGCAATAACTCAAAAAATAAGAACTGCAGAGTACCGGTCCTTGTGCACTGCACTTCGGGTTATTGAAAGAAGCATGCATACCAAGTTTGAAGTCAATCAGACTTATAGTGACTGAGTTATGCTCCGGACAAGCTTTAGGGGACGCCGACAACGACGCCGACAACGACGCCGACACAGACGCCGACGAAAGTAACCCCTATATGTCACCTTTTCAAGGCGACACAAAAATTAAAAATAATTGACAGCTCCGTTCCAGAAAGTAACCATTTCCTACATTACCGCACTGAATATAAGGTAAAGTAATGATTGGTTAAGCGGGAAATCCGAGTTTTAACATTTTCCATCAACACAATGTTCATGACTGGCCTTTACTATTGACAGGGGATTCAATTCAGACTAGCCCTCTAAAATACTCCAACTAGTCCAAAGTGTTAATGGTGCCTATACAGTTATGATCACTACATCTGGAAACTGGAGATTCCCACCGAGTGTGATGCTTATCTTCATTCGCTTGACAGTGACACATGTCCACCTTAAAAAAAAGCAATAAAAATTATATGAAGTGCAATAATTTGCAAAAAAATGCTTATCTTATTTGTCTCTTCTTACATTTATAATGCAGAGCACTAGATTTGTGTGTCTGTCATACAAAATGACTTTCAATAATACTATTTAAATATATTTGAAATACAATTTCTTTAATAAATACTCATAGTAATACTAAATTCCTTTTTTTGTGATATTTTTTCTGACACATATGTGCAGACAGTACATTGTGTACACCGGTCTTACTGACCTGTGTGAAACCACTCTAAGCATGATGGAACGCACTACACTAGCGGCTTTAACACCAAAGTGATAGAACAAAACGGAAATCAGGCCACTTGAAAAATTAAACTTTTTCATACTCTGTTGGTGTAATAGCCTTTACATCATTTTTACTCAAAACATGCGCAAAACACTCCTTCTGACAATCCTTTATTGGTATTCGTTCAACACTCGTATTTCGTCAATTGTTAGTTTAAATTAAAACCGAAAGTGAAAGTAGTTTTGAATATTTGAATACATAGTAACACAGTGGAACTATCAAATTTGCACTTGCAATATTAAACTCTGAAAAACAATGAGCAATGAACAATATATTGTGTTTTATTAATAAAATTGTCATCCCTACGCAGACTTCTTTATGTCAGAGTTATTTTTACCCTCATTTGGGGTGAGTAATGCGTTGTGAGAGACTGGTGTGTATACAATTCAGACAGTATACAATTAATTTGTTTCGACGGCATACAATTTAAAGGTATAATTACGTATTGGCTACAAATAAAGTAAATAATGGTTAGTTTAATAACCAATCTGAATGTTTCAAAGATTATCCCTTCAAACTTTAAAAACAGTCTGTTAATTAAATAGATCTTAGCAATAAAGGCACACTAAGAAGAAAACTAGAAATGTGTCCATAGGACACGGGGATGCCCCCACAAGCCACTGTTCTGTCAATCTTATGACTCTAGGTCAAATATTTTTTGGACTACATGTGCCACAAGTTGAAAACTAAAAATCAAAAAAGGGCCATAATTCTCTAAAATTTGGTCGCAGCAAAAATTCCTTCCTTTACTACCATCTACACATTAAGGTTGTTCATCCCTGGAAGTTTAAGCAAAATCTGCCATCCGGTTTAAGAGGAGTTGCGTTCACAAAATTTCTACATAGTATATAATGAAAAAATCAAAAAAGGGCCATAATTCTGTTAAATTTGGTTGCAGCAAAAATTTCTTTCTTTACTTCCATCTACACATTAAGGTTATTCATCCCTGGAAGTTTAAGCAAAATCTGCCATCCGGTTTAAGAGGAGTTGCATTCACAAAATTTCTACATAGTATATAGTGAAAAAATCAACAAAGGGCCATAATTCTGTAAAATTTGGTCGCAGCAAAAATTCTTTCCTTTACTACCATCTACACCTGAAGGTTGTTCATCCCTGTAAGTTTAAGCAAAATCTGCCATCCAGTTTAAGAGGAGTTGCGTTCACAAAATTTCTACATAGTATATAAGTGAAACTAGAAATGTGTCCATAGGACACGGATGCCCCCACACGCCACTGTTCTGTCAATCTTATGACTCTAGGTCAAATATTGTTTTCATTAATTTTTTTTGGAAAACAGTTTGGTTTGTGAAATATACATTAAATATTATATACCTGTTGTTTGTAATAATCTTCTAGTCTTTGTTTAATCTTATACTGTACTTTTTTCTAGCTACATGTACCAGCCTTTCCAAGTGAATATTAAAGTAAATGATCTTTTATTTCCCTGAAAATATCAATTTAGAGATTTCATTTTCAAATTCATCTAATACTACTCTCTTAGTGTGTGTATATACAATGTATATATGTGTCTATACAATGTATATATATGTTTACACAATAATATGATTGTGTACAGCATGTAATGACATAATTAAAATTTGAAAAATTTATGATAATAAAATATTAATAATATTTCTTCATATTACTCCACAGTATTACCACTAAAATAGAAAATGTTCTATCATTTTATTATGATATTTATTTTTTACATGTAGATTTGTGAAAAAAATGTGAATATCAGTAGTGTCAAAAATTGTTAAATCATATAAAATGTCTAATTAACACTGATAAATTACTTCAACCATGTATTGAGAACAGGTATAGATCATTTCCAACAGTCTTGCTGTTGTGTTGACATTTTCGCGACATGGTTGTGTGTCTGCCTTGTAATCAAGAGGTCTGGGGTTCAAATCCCTTTAAGTGCCTGAAGATTTTTCAGGTTAACAATTATCAAGGTGGCAGTGATTTTTTTTCAACTTTCAAAACAACCTGTGGCTTTATAAATGGGAAACTATAGCTTGAAAATTATTCTGAAATATTCAAGAATGTGCCCCATTTGGTAGAGACGTAACGGCCGTGACAAGACCAAAAAATTGTAGGCATATATGCCGGTTTTCCTGTAAAGGCAGACATCTGTGTAATATCAATTTGTAAAATCTGTCGATTTGCAGTCTAAGTATGATCGAAATGTCTTGGGTACGAAAGACTCGAGATCTCCAAATTACTTCGAAATTATTTACGAAAGTTTTAGTCCTCGGAAACAAATTGGCATCAATAAATAAACTTAATATTATTATTCATCAAATTCATAACATATTTTGCTTTATAACTTACCTTATGAGCTTAACAGGCTGATAATTATGCTCGTGAAGTAGGTCAAAAAATATACCGGAAGTTGTCGGATTCATTTAACCTAATTATCGGCTAATTCAGAGACGAATAGATTATCTACATCTCTGGCTAATTCTATTTCAATATCCACTTTGCAATTATAAACTACAAAATTTATCCGATAAATAATGTCTTTTTCAAAAATTTCTGGAATATGATACAAAAAAATGTGATGATAAGGCGGATGAGTAAGTTAAATATTGCAAGCCGTCAAGCACTATGACCCAATTAATTTACTATCCCATTCATAGAATTATGTGACCTTTCAAATTATATCCGCTACGTTTCTAATACCGTAATTCAAGCTCAATTGCACATTATTTTTAAAAAATAAATTTCTTGTCTCCTCTTCTGTTCGCAATAAATCGAAGTTTTCAGAAATTCAGAGCACTATTTTTCACTCGCGGCGGTTATGCGTCGGTCATGGTCGGGTGATCACTATGAATTCAGCTTACGTTGATATGTTAGAATACAATATAGCATATTGAGTGGCGATGAAACGTCACAGCAGTGGGCGTTACCCTGTATGGTTGGAAATTTCGGGTTTGTAAGTGCACTAGTTGGGACTACGTCCCAACTAAAAACTGAATGCGCTGCTACGCCTCCGAGAAGCACAAACATGACATCAAAATATTGTCATGAATAAATCAGTCGTAATTAGTTGCTGGATATTTATATCCTTGCATGTTTTTCCTCAGTTGCTGTTTAACGAGGGATAACGACTCGCCTCGTATCTATTTTCTGTACATGGGAATGAAAAATAAAATAAAATAAACTATGACGGCTTTTATCAAAAGACCAATGTATTGGATTTAACTCAATACAGGATTGGAGCAGTACATCTAGACGCTTGCAGAAATCATGATCACAAAATAGACAAATTTAGTTTTTTTCGCCGATTTTTACATTTTTCATTTATTATCATACATAAATCGGTGTGAAAAGACCTATTAAAGTTCATTCCGTTGGGTAAAAGGCAAGATTTTAGCATTTTATGATTCAAGCGCCTTGCCCGGTATATACCGGAATACGGTATTTAGTGTGATGCTCCAATCCCTTTTTTTAGTCTCACTCCAATGTATTGCGTAGGATTAGTTTATACGTATTTACCAGATAAGTACATTAATTTATGGAAACCTATCACTGTTTTATGATAAGCTTTTTCCCCATTTAATTTAGACTAGAGAAGGAAACGATTTGTCTGTTCCTTGAAATATCCTTTTCTTTTTTTATCCTCTGTTTTACAAAAATATTAGATTATAGGAAAGATAATGAAACTTACCCGTGTTTGATTAAACATACATGTTATGCAATAGTTCATAGATATATACATATATTTGCATTTCTGCTAGAATAAGAATAAAAAGGAATGAAAGTAGAAGACATGCATTATAAAGTCCAAGATTGTTTGTTTTGATTGGGTTTTACGTCACACCGACACATTAATGGCGACGTTCCAGTTTTATTGATGGATGAAGACGTCGGGTTCTCTTTCTTGCATTATTTCAGGCACGAACGCCAGCTGGATAGCTTCCTTACATGAAAGAATCCACAGTCCCTGTCGGTATTCGAACCAACAGCGGTGGGGAGCAAATGGTTTGTAGGCAACGACATTATGCACTCGCCCGCGAACGCCCCTCAACAGTTCAAATAGACAGATTAATGTATTTATTACATACCATCAATGAAATATTGAAAAATATTGCTGAAATAAAATGCATATTTTTATATTTCGTATTTTCACTGTAAAAAATATTTTTCACTGCAGCGAAACATATTTTCTGTATTTTCACAGGTGTCTTGCAATACACAAAATTTAAGGGCAAGTCATATAATAAAGTCCTACGTAGGAGTTATAAACTCCTAATTAGGCTTTTTTATCTCCTACGTAGGAGATATAAAGTCCTACGTAGAAGTTTATAAGTCCTACGTAGGACTTCAACTCCTAATTAGGTTTTTATATCTCCTACGTAGGAGTTACAAAGTCCTACGTAGGACTTATAAAGTCCTACGTAGGGGTTATAAAGTCCTACGTAGAACTTACAAAGTCCTACGTAGGAGTTATAAACTCCTAATTAGGCTTTTTTATCTCCTACGTAGGAGTTATCTTTTTTTATAGAACATGTTAAATTGGCACCAGGACGCTTCCGTAGTCTACACTTTGCAAGACAGGTGAATATGATACTTGCATTCAATACTTGGACAGGTGTAGACGGGGCCTAAAACTTAGGTAGAAAAAATCACAATAAATTTTCTACTTTGTTTACATGCCTTATATTTAGTCGGGAACTTAGGTTCAAAGCCTTCTTTATAAATATTACCAAAACCCTTTAAAGATCTCTAAAAATATTAATTATGTTTTACAAAATATTATTATTGATATATTTCGTTTTACGAATTAATATTTCTTGATTACGAGTTAATATTTCGTAAACAGGAATTAATATTTCGTAATAACGAATTAATATTTCGAAAAAACGAAAAAAATCCCGGAGGAAAGTGTTGAAAAGTCGCTTTAGTACGACAACCCTGGAGTATCATTTATTAGATCTAATTATTAATAACACATAATATTAATTAATTACATTTATAAGTTATAGCGTATTAATAAGTATTAATTACTTCATGTTTAATATTTATAGTTTCGTAGTTATTTTCACGTGTGTGTTTGGCAGATAGTGCTCCTTTGAAACTGTGGGTGCCCGTTAATGCCTTTAATAATACCCAAAGGGGCAGTAGTAAAACTGGAAAAACATTAAAGATTAAAGCAACGGCAGCTGTATTTTTAATTAAACATGACCGTGGTTTTTAAATATTGTTTAACGACACGAAGCTTTAAAAAGATTCAGGTAATGTAGGTCAATTTTTGTTATGTTTCACACTTTCACGTCCTACCAAAACTGTCATGGTCATATGGCGACTTTCCAGTTTTACTAGTTAGAATATGCTCCGTATCCCTCCCTAAAGTATATGTGTTCCGTATCCCATATAAAAGCACTGTGTTCCGTAGCATTTCAACTTGATGAACAAATGCTAAAACAGCACTGCATTAATATAAAATATCAGCCAGAGTAAATCATAAATAAAATCATATATTTAAATTATCTATAAAACAGTGAGAAAAACAGGCCCAAGTGTTCAAATAAATAAAATATATAAATTTGAAGAAAAGAAAAACAATTATAAGTAAAGGGAAATTTTGAAATAATTTTTTTATCAGATTTTATTCAAAATGACAGAAATTTTGTGTTCCATATTCTTTGTTCCCTACCATTTAAACATAACTTTATAAAAATATGCAAAACATCACTGCATTCACTAGATACATAAGACTTAGTAAATCTATGAAAAAAGAAGTTTTTTTTCTACGAAACAGTGAAGAAAAAACAACAGCAGACGACTTACTAGAAGTCGCTTGTTGTGATAAACGAGTGTGTACCGTTCCCTTCGGCTCGAGCTATGATAAACACTGTACTCGAATGTTCTCAAAAAACATTCAGGGGTTTCCAGAATTTTGATTTACCGTGTATGGAACAGAATTAATGCATTTATTCTATCTTGCTTGATGACATTGGAACTTGCACTATGCTTAATTCCATCTTGCTACATGACATTAGAACTTGCATTATGCTTGATTCCATCTTGCTACATGACATTAGAACTTGCATTATGATTGATTCCATCTTGCATTATGATATTTAAACGTTGCATTATTCTGGATTCCATTTTTCATTATTTCATTCAAACATTTCGTAGTGACCAATGCTTTCATTGAGTGATAACTATTAAACTGGAACGAGCCATTTGGAATACTAAAATGTTAACGTCATATACTTTTATGTATAAGCTACCTTTCTTCATGCTCTATACAAACTATTTACGGTTTAGTTTTTCTTGTATTACTTTTATGTAGAAGTCATTTAAAATTGACTATTTTTTGTTCCCTGATGGATTTTGTTAAAATGTGACTTATTTGATTTACAGCTCGCATGATTACTATTAGCTTTCGCTTATATCCATTATTCAGTGTTTATGCTTTATAAAGCTCGGTGTCTGAGGCATTGTGGATTATGTTTGATCATCTTACATTATGATAAACAATTTAAACAATGTCTAGCGATTTGCGAACTGTTAAGGGGCGAGAACTCTGTTATCGATATCAACGGATTTTTTCCATGATTCGCCTATAATCGGAATTTTCCGTACATGTATATATTACGGAATACCGTTAGGGCCATCGTGGTTATACGTTACATACAGAGGGCGACAATGCTAGAAATTTACGTACCCAAGCGCTTAATACATAAATTGCAGTGGAAAGAATATAAATACAACTAGTAAGGATTATGCAATATAATTTTATACATGTTTATGTATACAGTCTAATAGAAAAAAATATGCTCGTAAACAGTTATTCAATGGGGCAGTTATACGTACAGTGGCGGATTTCAGGCCTTGCCTTAAGGACTGCACCTACCCCCAAAAGATACGTGATGAGCTGGGATGGAATATATAACGTGTAAGTTTCATGCAATAGCTGGTCATAGTGTAACATATAATGCTGTCATCCAGTTGTTAAGCACCTGCCCAGGTATTGCGATTGCGAAGGTCTTTACTAATGACGTGGACATTAAAAGCAAAAGTTATTAATAATAAATGTCTGAGAGTCACTAATAGTGGCGAATAGGTATTAACCACATTAAAATATACATGTATAATAAGGAAAGAAGGAAGTTGTTTATTTTTGTGACATGTGCATAGTCAATTATAAATGTTGGGCATATGTGTGTCTGATTATAGATCAGAACATCCCGCACACACCACACACATTCACATACATTTGTGCTAAATGATATACTATGCACATCTTTCAGTAATATATTTTTATCACAGAAATTTATTGAAGTCTATAAAATTCTTACTAAATATGTTTTATTTAAATAAAACACATACACATAATGTATAGGAATCTGCTTTCCCTTATACGGGTCAAGTAAAGTTTGCCTGTCTTAAAAGAAACTTTCATATATATTTTTGTAATAACACACTATACATGAATATTCATACTGCCCACTTACAGTGTAAAGGATTTAAAGCACAATGTTTGTGTGAAGGCCAAATTATATTTATTTTATTTTACAAAAACAAATCAAGTTTGTACTGTACTAAGTCGTAGCCACGAGTTACTAAGTGACATGTGTGTTGTTTTTATTTATCTCGTGCGCACGAGATTACTGTGTCGTGGCCACGAGTTACTAAGTCGTGGCCGAAACGAGATAGTTAAGGTCGTGGGAACGAGATACTATATCGTAGCCACGAAATACTATGTAACG